CGCGCGCCGAGCGCGGGCGCGCGCGCGCGGGACATCACCGAGCGGTCGCGGCGTGGAGTGACGTCGACGTCGTGACGTCGTTGTGTCGTGGACACTCGCGCGCGCGGCGCACGGCGCGCGCATGGCGGCGCACGGCGCGCGGGCGGTGCTCCTGGACGTCCCGTCCGAGGCCACGGCGCGGGTGGACGGCGCGGAGTTCGCGTGGGACGACAGATTTCAGGGCGTTCGGAACGTCCCGCTCGGGATTCACTTTATTGGCTTTGTGGCGCCGGGAACGGACGCGAACGGGGCGGGGGCGTGCGTGGGGGAGTTCATAGAGGTGCTGTGTCGGGATGATGTGTTCGTGCGGCGGTGGGACGCGTCGTTGGAGACGATGGGGGGGGGAGAGGGGATGGCGGCGGCGGAGGCGGAGAACGCGCGCGCGGCGGCTCGAGCGCGCGCGTTCGATGGACGAATGGCGAGATATCCGGAGGAAGCGTCGAAATCGTGGACGGCGATGAGTGGATTCATCACTAGGAAATCGCTTCGGAGATGCGGGATCGATTGTGGGACGAGGATCGAGGCTGGGGATCCGGACGCGGACGCGAGAGAGGCGGAGACGAGTGGAATGACGCCGTACTTTGATAACGTGCAGCGTGCGCCCGTGTTCACGCGAGCGGCGACGAGTCGGGCACCGAGAGGGAAGACGCCTTCCGAGATTTCAGCGCTGAATCTCGATCCTGAGCTCAGGTTGAGTCATGCGCTGGAGTGTTTTGGAGACGACGGTTGGCGCGGATTGATGGGAGAGTTTCAGCTCGCTTTTGTCCTGCTCGTTGGATTGTCGTCCATGGCGGCGCTTGAGCAGTGGAAGCACTTGGCGCACGTCGTGTGCGCGTGTGCACAGAGTGCTGTATTCAAGTACCCGGAGCTGTACTCGACGTTCATCGACGCGATGAGCACGCAGCTCGAACGCGCGGGCGAAGACTTTTTCGTCGACGATTATAGCGACGACAATTTCATTCGTCCGTGCCTCGTCGCGCTGATGAAAATTGACGTCTCCGAGGCGCCATCTGACGATGAGATCACTGATCTCGATCAACGGGCCAAGCTCGACGAGATCGCGAAAAAACTTGCGCGTCTCGCGCGAGACGTTCGCAAAAAGTTTGACGTGCGTCTCGTCGACGAGGCCCGAGAGGCCAAGCTCGCCGACGCTGAGAACGAGAACGGGGACGAGGATGGTCCGGTCGTCGTCGAACTCTCTGAGGGTACGTATATGGCCATGAACGCGACGAACATCGACCAAGACGATACCGAACCTCCGCTCATCGAACCGACACCCGCGCCACCCTCGCGCATGTCCTGGATGGTCGGCGAGCAGTCGTGAAACCGCCCAACGAACGCGCTCGCCGATCACCTTCGTGTAAACATACTCGAATCTTTGTACAGCACATCGCACGCCAAAACGTATCCCGCGCCACGATCGCACGTCCTCGCCGTCGTGCATCGTCCGCCGCCTCGCGCGCGTCGACATCCGACTCAGGGTCTGCCAAAAAGCACCTCTCCTCGACGTCGTCGCTCCAAACATGGCCTCGCCCTTCGCCGTGTCCCCCCCGCGCGCGCTCGATGAAGCGCTCGGGGCGTGGGAGCGCGTCTCGGACGCCGTCGACGACACCGGTGCGGGCACGAACGCGCGCGCGCGCGATGAAACCGAAAGCGCCGCCTCGAGCGAGCGCGATGTGTTTTTTGCAGCTCGGCAAAACTGATGACTGACGACGAACGTGACGCGCGCGCAGGCGTAGAGCTCGCCGCGGACGCGCAAACGTTGGTGAAATCGATCGTTACGTACGCTCGAGACGGACGATGGCGACGGGATAAGCGCGTGAGAGCGAGCGCGGAGGCGTGCGCGCGAAGAGCGAGCGCGAAGAGCGAGACGTTCCGGGAGACGCTCGTGCTTGGTGCGTCGAGAGCGGTGACCTCGGGGGCGTTCGGGGACGATGAATGTGAAAGCTTAAGTCGAATGGTGTGCTTGGTGCTGGAGGAGGTGGAGAG